CACGTGGCCCGAGGGAGCGAGGCGAGGGGGAGGACCATCCGCCCGCGGGCCACACGGGTGACGGAGACCGCGGGTGGTGGAGACTGGGCAAAGTGAGACCGCAGACAAGGGGACCGCTGCACCTCATCGTGTGACTGTCTGGAGACGGGGCCCTTCAAGAAGTCATTAAGTCATTAAGGGTACATGAGGTCCTACGGGTGAGCCCTAATCCGATGTGACTGATGCCTCGTAAGAAGAAGACATTTGGACACACGTCGAATGCCAGCATTGGAGGAGGTCATCGAGAGGACGTGAGGGCTGGCCCTGTCCTTGGAACGGGCGCTCTGCCAGCCACTCCCGCAGCGGCTGCTGTTCCAAGGACACGGCCTTGACAGAGGAACCTGGCATTGAGACGGTCTGGACCAGTTATGGCCTTTACATAAACTTGGAAGGCACCCGGGCCTCGCCCGAGATCTAGGGGTCTTGTGGCTCCCAAGACAAGCCTGGTGTGTAAGTTCCCTCTGCTTATAAACCTGCTACCTACCAACCCGGCCTGCTTCTTTCTTCCACTCTCCCTGTCCTCTGTGTACCTGGGCCGGTTGGCAAACCAACAGCCAGAGATGAATATTCACGGAAGACCACGCACGCAAACAGCTGTCCCCGCCACGCTTCTCGACTGGCACCCAGAGCACCGGCCCAGGGGGCGGACACAAGGCTTCAAAGATGTGCACCTGGGGCGGGCAGGGGGCATCTGATGATGCATCTGATCCTTCGGAGGGACGGCGCCGGGCTCTTAAAGAAGAATCACGCTGACACTTTCTCCAGTGGTAGCAAGATTTTATTCGAGACGCTCTGCCGGAGGGGGGAGGGAGTGAGCCCAGCTCCCTGAGCGGAGAGAGAGGGGGGAGGGCCTGGGACATCTCGGAGAGGAGTCCAGGCCAGGAGGCTCTGGCTCCTGACGCAGAAGGGCTTACAGTGAGTCACGGTCATGGGTGGAGATAAGGGATCTCATCCACAATCGAGTGCGGCAGGAGCCTCACCAAACTCCCTTAGCGGGGCACCCGCGGGGCTCAGTCCACTGAGCGTCCGACTTCGGCTCAGCTCATAATCTCGTGGTTCGTGAGTTGGAGCCCCGCGTCGGGCTCTGTGCTGACGGCTCAGAGCCTGGAGCCTGCTTCGGATTCTGTGTCTCCCTCTCTCTCTGCTCCTCCCCCACTGGTGCTCTCTCTCTCTCTCTCTCTCAAAAATAAATAAACATCAAAAAAAATTTTTTTAATACATAAATAAACCCACTTAGCAGGATTCTTTGCTAAATGGGGGCAGTTCAGGCCAAAGAGAGGATGGGGGCAAGGTGCAGGCCTTGTCAAGAAGAGGGCTCAAAAGATCCTGCCAGAATTTGGTTGAGGGTGGAGTCTTGGTCAGATGGTAGTTGAAAATAAGCCGGCTGGATATGACTAGAGCCCCGCTCTGTCATTAATAACGAGTCCAGTCCATCATAATCCGGCCGGAAAACATGCCCCTAAGCAAGTGACTCAGGCGACTTCACAGGCCCCCACTTGGCCCCAGAAAGCCCTTGCTGGACCGTGGCCTCATCTTTTCTCTTTGCGACCCTTAGGGGACAGGAATCCTGACGTTAGCATGTCCCAGCCAGGAGCAATTGGCCGTGCCAGGGGACATCTTGGCCATGTCCAGGGTGTGGAGACGTGGGAGGAGAGAAGAGGGCTGGGTTTGGAAGGATGCACGGGAAAGGCAGCGCACCCGAAAGGTTCAGATGGCCACGCCTCGCCGCATCCAGGAGGCAGTGTGGACGAGGAGTGAGGTGGGAGGTAAGTTCTCAGCACCCAGCATGTGCCCCACCACCTCGAGGAGCCCCCCAAGCCTCGCGGTGGACGCTTTTCCACCATTTCCCAGCCAGGGCCTGGAGCAGACACAGCGCGGAGGGAGGGCTGGCGCTCAGAACTGCTGTCTGCCCAGGAGCTGAAGGAGCCGCAGACGAGCTCCCTCCTCCTGGTCTCTGGGGCTCTGTTCACCCCGCTCACCAGGCGAGCGTGGACTTGGGGGCGTCCACCTCGTGCAGTAGGCTGAGATCCGACTCTGTCTCTGTGCAGTGTGATGCTCAGGTTACCCCAGACGTGGTGCTCCGAGCCTTAGAGCTGGTCTCTCTGTCCTGCCGTGTCCCCGTCCTGCAGGGGGGGCATCCAGGCTTTCGCATCTGAAACGTTCCCAGCTCCTCTTGCTCTGTTCTGGAACCAGCCCTGGAGCAGCTCTTCTCCCAGGAGCCCTGCTTCTTCTTGGCAGAGAGCAGTTCCGGGGTCAAACTGTAGACACGCTTGTCCCTGCTGGGTGCCGCTGTGAGTGCACAGACCCAGGAAACACAGGCCACCGCTATCTTTCACCTGGACACTTGTGGCACGTCCGTGCCCTGGGCCCTTCGGAACCGCGAGTTCAAACCAGTGTCTGCATGTGATCCAACACGGGGCGGGGTGGGGGGGGAGCTCATTCCGGGGCCGCCTTTCCCACAGGCTCCGCCGCCCACAACGTTCAGTCTATTCACTCTGTCCCGCTGCAGGTGGCCAGTCTCCATCCCCCCTCTTCTGGGTTGGACTGTGTTCCCCAAACAACCTGTCCAAGTCCTACCCGCCCGTGAATTTGACCTTACTTTGCCGTAGGGTCGCTGCAGACAGAATTGGCGAAGACGAGCCCCACCCGCCGCAGGGTGGGCCCTAAGTCCTGTGTGACTAGTGTTCTTGTAAGGAGACAGGCGTGCAGGGAGAGGAGAGCCAAGTGACCACAGGGACAGAGACTGGAGAGATGCAGCCAGCAGCCAAGGACCGCGGAGGGCGGCAGGGGAGGTGAGGCGTGGGTCTGCCCTGCTGTCTTCAGAGGGGGCCCAGCCCAGCCTACACGTGGGTTC